CAATGATTCATTAAAATAATTAGCTGCAAGATTAATTGATTCATGGTCAAGATAAATGAACTTGCATCAGTTTAACATTACAAGCTCATTGATTTTTACTTGAAAGACAAGTCAAGTAGAAAAATGTGAAACAGAAAAAGAAAGGCAGAGAAAAAGAATAATTTCTTTACTTAATCTTCTTTAGCTTCTTCTCATCATCATTACTATTATCATTATTATTATTGCGATTATCATTCTTTATGCTTCTTCTTTCATTTAACTGCACACTCAGATATATCATGTTGAATATAAAAAATTACAAGAACCATTATGAGACCGGGAAATGTCCATAATCTTTGAACGGGACAGAAGAAGAGGAGGAAGAAGAAAATGAAGATTGAAAGAAAAGCTCATCAGTTTCAATTGAATAAGAATGATAACCCGAATGGAAACCTTGACAAGACCTTAAGGTCATCACAGATCAGATGACCTTTTCATTAAAATAATTTATCCTTCTTAAAATATCATTATCATTAGCACCAAGAATAAGTGGAAAAGTGTCATTTCATTTCAACAAAATCATTAATCCAGCAAAATATTCAACTCAAGTAAACACTGAGCACCCAACAAAGCCAAAAGCTTAAGACATCGAACTATAACAATGAAAACATCATGAAATGCTGGAACTTTTCGTAAAATCGTAAATTTGGAAAATTCATTCTTTTCCGAACTCGACTTTTTCGAATATCGAAATTTTGGAAAATGAAATTCTATGAAATTTATGATGAATTATAACAAGCAATTGCGAGCCACAAAACTGTAGATTGATTGAATTTGATTGGAAATTATTTCAATTGAACAAAAGAAGCAAATTTCAATGCAAATTGTGAGTTTATGATGAAAAGCTGAACATTAAAGTTTCCCATTTGCCGAGTCGAATGTTGATTTTGATATTCTCATAATGATAATTATAGCAATAATAATAAATTAAATGAAAAAAAGTGATAACATTATAAGCCTTTTCCCTTCACTTTAGACATTTTTATTCACTCTATTCATCAGTCTATCCTGTTGGTGTTTCTTGTTGACAAAATGCTCAGAATTCTCGGAATGTTGAAAATAAAGAATGGCAAAGAGGTTCAATATCAGTAAACTATGAATATATTATTTCAACTTTTTGGAGTTGCTTTTTCTTCCTCTTTCCTTTCATCAATAAAATATTAATGAATTTATCCAAATGAAAGTGAACATTCAAGTTGAATATAAATGTTCATTTGTAAATAAGCATCATTCTAAGTGCCCTGGAAATTTCATGTTTTCCCATCAACTTTTCATGTTGATGTTTGATTGTTTCACTAAGAGAGACAAAAACTTATTCACACTTTTCATGGTAATAATGAGCAAAGAATGAAAACTGTTTACTTTGTCAGAGTCGCAAAAAGAATAAGTATTTCAATAAAAATGTCTCTTTTCTGTGCCATGAAAACATTTACATAGTTATTATCCTTGAGTTCACGATGAAATATTGAAACTGTTCAATGAAACTGAAAACAATTGCCTTTTGGATAAAGTGATGAGAAATTATTGAAATGGCAAGAAAATGATAATTTCTTCTCTCTCTCATGATTGATGAATGTTTCACTTTTAAAGGTGAACAAAATTTTCTCACCTTTTGTGTGATTTAACATAAATTAAGAGTTCATTTGCAAATTTATTTATTCGTGATTCTGCAAAAGCTTCAAGTTAATGAGATTTTTGGAGCTTCCATAATTTGTTAACTTGTTGCAAGTTTCCCTTAAAACTGCACTTTTCTTGGTCTTCATCATTTTTGCCTCTTTTGCCAATCTTTTCCATCTCGCCATCTTTTCCGTTTCCTTCATCAATGATTTTCGATTGATAAAGAAACATGAAATTGATCTGAATCGGCAACTTTTCCTCTCATCCTTTGCATATCGAAATTGCAACAAAGAATTTCTCTTTTTTTCATATTCCTTGCAAGACAAAAGATGAAGATGTAAAAATTGATCAATGATTTCTTTTTTTTCCTCACAAATCGCAATCATCATTCATCTTTTTGATCATCTTTTTTCTGTCACTTTTCTCCTTTTTTCTTCTTCTTTTTTCCTTTTCGCCAATATCATGAATTGAGCGGCAATGAAATCTCCAAGTTAACCTTTCATGCTGCTGATCTCATCATGAAAGTTGATGAAACTGATTGAGCTTTTTTACTCTTGCAGTTGTCCAATTTTCTGCTCTTCTTAATTACAATGATTAATCTTGTTTGTTAGCATCACATGAATGCTGGAAATTGTTATTTACATTTGGCGATATTTTTAGGATTAATTTTATTCTTCTCTTTCCTCTCACTCCCTTTGTAAGGTAGTCAATTAATGTTGATTAAGCTGATTGGAACAGCTTCTGGTTCAATTCCCACGACATTTTCATTGACAAGTAAACGAAGAGAGAAAAAAGATTTAGCTCTGATTTTCACTTGAAAAACAGATAATCTCATTTTATTAAGTCACATTTTCACTTGGTTAGGATTAACTGTAAGATTAGTTAAATTGATTCGACTATTACAATGAGAAGAGCAAAAAGTGATTTCAACGATTCAAGGAAAGTTCCAGTGAAGATGTTGCTGATAATGATGAAGAGAAAGAAGAAAGCAAAATGTTGAACAAGGATTGACCATTGCGGTTACAAGGTCAAGGTTCTTACATGGACTTATAAGAGGCTTACCTTGAACTTGTTTCATCTTCTCATTGATCCAAAGTAACCAGAAAGAGAAACGATGAGAATGTTGATGACGAGAAATTCAAGTGTTTCGACTTTTCATGTAAAAAAGAAACATGAAAGAGTTGAAATGAAAAGGTAAAAATAAAAACATTTTGGGTGCAAAATTGGGCAACAAAACGTTGAACCTGAAAATGATTGGTTAATATTGGGAAAAGAGGAAAAAGAAAATGAAGCAAAAAGAGAAAAATTTCTTTTCCTTTTTTTCACTCTTCTTTGGGTCAAGAAGGAGGATAAATATGATCATCTTTAATAGCCTGTTGATAGTTGGAAAGGATTCATTTCTTTTACTTGACCAAATAATCTTCAATCAATAGAAACATCTTTTCATCTTTACTCTTCTCTTTACCATCTTTGGTCCACTTTTGTCCACTTTAACCAGAAATGAAGAAACAACTTTTCTCTTTTTTTCTTTCTTCTCTCAAGTTAATCATTCCAACCGCAACTCAAAACTTGAATATAAGTGAACAATCTTGAGGTTAATCAACATTTTAATCGATAATTTATATTCTCATAATCAGATTGGAGTCACAAGTCTAACAGGATTCTGATTCTTTAAACATTTAATTTCGTGTTCTTTAATTAAAGTCGATTAAAAGTTGAGATAAAAATGTTGTATAAAAGGAACCCAAAATGAGGTTAAAAATGTCAATTTTATCAAAAAATTGAATCTCAAATGTTGAAACAAAATGTCAAGTTGAACCAAATGAGCCTGTAAATCGGCGGAAAAGGCAATAATTAAGGAATCAATAATTTACAATGTAAATATGAAGAGAAGGAAAAGTTGACCGAGAAAAGCATTTCGATAATAAAAACTCCCAGCAAACTGTCTCTCATTTTGTGCTATTGATTATGATAATGATAACTTTTTTTTGTGCTTAATTTTTTTCTTCTCTGCCTTCATCCCATAAGAATTAATCTTGAACAATCTTTTTCTCTCTTCTTTTGTTCTCGTGATTTACTTGATCAGTTTATTCAAAAGCTGTTATTTCAATAAAAAGCAATATCCAAAGTAATATTAATACCTCAACCCAATTTAGTGTTTTTTTTCTTCTCTCTTTCTTCTGATGCCTGTTACCATTAATGAGGAATAAATGTTATTAGAAGAAAGATGATGAAAAGTGAGACAAGAAGAGAGAGAAAAATAAGTGGGAGGAAAAGAGGAGGAAAAGTAACCTTGAGTTTGGGTGCTCAATGTGCTGTAATAACCTGACCGGTGTCTTTGATTCTTGGCCGTTTTGGGCTTCTTTTAGGATTCATCTTTTTCTTCATCTGTTTGGTTAACTTTAATTATCGAAATGAGTTCATCCGAATTATCCCAATTGAGAGCATTCTTTTTCTCTTTTCCTGTTTACTCGATATAAAAACTGACCAGACTTGGGTTGAGACCCAAGCAAACACTTTCAATGATCAAAGATATCAATGCTCTTTCCATCATTTGTCCTCATTTTGTCCGGCAACAGATTTGCTTTGAATAATTAACTGCAACAATTGATCGATCATTTGTTCAAGATTCATCATTCCATCAACCAATTGTGTTTTTTTGTCCTTCTTTTCCGGATTTATTGGCTTGTCCAATTTGATCAACTTTGGTATCAACTTGAATCTCGAAATGAACATTTTGCGCTTCTCTTTGCTCTTGATTAATGAGTGCGATTATTGTCACTTGTATGAATAGATTGTTGGTAAAACGAAGAAAAGAAAAGTTTAAAATTAAACGATTCATCAATGAATGGTAAATTCATTTGAATGGCTTGATAACAAGAACTTTTCAATATTGTTTGATGAAAATCAATTTAACTCGAAGAGTTTAAATTGCGAATCAATATTGATTTCAATTTTTCTTTCATTTTCCCTTTTCTTTAATTTACCCTGAAAAAAAGTAGAAATAATCCATTCTTAAGAATGAAGATTTCTTGACAAAAGTCTTGAAATTCATCCACTTCTGTCACAATCTACTTTCAAAGTCTTTACAAAATGTTACAAAATTTCATCAATTTTCGTTGTTTGCCTTTGAAAGGAAAAAAATGAACAAAATTGCAACTCATTACTAACATAATTACATTGTATTCATTTCAAGAGGAATCAGAACTTTACTCAATAGACTTCAGAATAAATTGTCAGATTGAGTTTAATTGATTAAAATCAAAGGGAAAGCAGTTAAACAAAGAGGGAAACACTGAAAAAAGGAAACAAAAATAATTAATTTTCTTCTTTACTCTTTTCAGGTTCCAATTTTTGATTACAAAGCAAAAGTCAAACTTGGAAACACAATAATCGTTATCATCAATAAACCAACCAGAATATTTACCTTGATTGGAAAAGGTGAAACAACATCAAAATATTTCTTCCTCACAATTGTTCCTCTGAAATTATATCAACTTTAAACTGGAAGAAAGCAAAGTTATCCAATAGCAAATTAAGTTAATTGGTAAGTTTTCACTCTTAATGATTAACAATTTGATTAACTATAAAAAAAGTTAGAAACAAATGTTTTTTTGGCCTAAACTGTTGACCTATTAATAAACATATTTGATTGATGGTCAGTTGATTACAATAATCAAATGGACAAAGAAAAGGCAAAATTAGTTCAATCTAATTAAAGTTGAACAAAAAGAGAGAAAAGTAATTTAACAAATTTTTCCCAATTAATCAAACTCTTTATTGATTGTGAAGGAAATTTAATTTTTTGCTGTTACTTTCATTACAATTTTTCATTTTCAATTGTAATTTGTTTCGCGATTTTTACTCACAATTAACTTTTTCTTCATTTAATGTTTACCTTTTGTATGATTTCAATCAAAACCATTAATTGTTAAACCTTGCTTTCAACAAAAGAGGGAAACATTGCAAGGTAAAGTTAATTATCAGATTATTACAATTGACAATAATTTGTTAATCAAACCGAATGAAGGTAACAATTGATTTTTTAATGTTTTTTTTTCATTTTCTCAACTTTTTTTCTTGCCATTCAAAGGTAAATTAATGGACCAAATTAACAGCTTAATTAATGTTGATAATAATGATAATAATCATTATTGGCTTCAATGAGCTTAATTACACTTTTAACAAACTTTCCACTTTTATTACCTGATGCAGTTAATTATCACTTTTGGTTAATTTCATTTTTCCTTTCTAATTGTAATTAACCTTTAAGTGTTGATTAAATGTTGCAAAAATGATTAGTTTAGAGAGAATTAAAAATTGAGAAAATTTCCATTTTGTGATTAAAGTGTTAAGAATAATTTTAATTGAATTGAAACTTTTTTGAAAGAAAAGTGGAAAAATTGAAAAAAAGTTTAAACAAATTAAAAGTAAAATTGAAGGATTAGATGAAAGGATGAGGATGAATGTGAAAAATATAATCAAATGAAAGCTTAGCAGAAAGAAATTAATAAGAAGGTTATGAGGATGAAATGATGGAAATGAAAGAATATGTATAATCTTTTTTTCTCCTCTTTTTTACTCCTTTTCACTTGATGAGGATGATGAGGATGAAATCTCCTTGACTCAGCCTTATCATCATTTTTTGTGTTCCCTCAACTCTCATTATCATTAGGAATTAGAGAAAAGTATAAAAACTCTAATATTGAGGGAGAAGTGGAATAAATGATGAGGATGGGGAAAAGAAGAAGAAAAAAGATGAAGAGAGTTAAGAGAATGCCCTTTATGGATTATTTGCTTTCCTCTTCATCATCTATGCAAAGCAAGGAATGAACAAGATGAACAAAAAATTAAGATGGTGGTTTGGGTGATAAGATGAGGAGGAGAGGATAAAGTAATGAAAAAAAGTCTAGAAAATAGAAAGTACTTTTTTTTACTAAATGTATGGATGATTAGGAGGAAGGATGATGAGGATGGAAATGAGAGTTGAGAGAAGATCAATAATTTGTATCATCAATTATAAAGAGAGAGAGAGGATAAAAGTAGAGGGTTAAGAGGGAGGAAGAGAAGAGTTTTTTATTTCTTTTTTGGGTGTGAGTTAAGATGATGATGAGGATGAGGAAAGTAAAAAAAATTGTTGATGTTCTACTCCATCTTGTTTTTGGTGGCGAAAAAAAAGACTTCTTTTTTGCCTTCTTTTCTCTCTTTTTCCTCTTCATCTACATTTTACTGTTGAACTTGATTCTTGAAAACTTGATGAGCTTTTATCATGTTACAGGGAATTGATCTGATTCTTGTTTTTGTTTCCGAGGCAATTCTTTTTCTCTGTTTCATTCATTCTGTTGGTGATGTTTATTGGCTCTTCTTGATTTACTTTACTTTAAAAGAATGACCAAAGAATCTGATCAACTTTTTATTTTCCATTTTCATCTCAACTTTTCTCCTTTGTTAGGTGATTCTTGACTTTTCCCTGACCTTTCAGCTTTTAATTGTAACCTTGCTTTGTTCTGGGTAAAGATAAATTGGTTGAGTAAATGAGAGAGGAAAAGGGAACGATTTGCTTTTAATTAATTACAATTAGAGTGAAACAATTGATGGTTGTTTGGCATTGGAAGAAGGTTTCTGGGATGAGTCAGGGAGGAAGAAGGAAAAAAAGAACATTCTTTTTACATGGAAATTTCCTTTTCTTCAACTTTAAGACACAACATTCTATTTGTTGTTTCGATTAATTTTACGATTCTTTTCCTTTCCAAATCGCACTCTTCTCTTGATTTTACTCTTTTCTATCTTCCACTTTCATCTTCATTAGCATCATCTTTTTCATCTTTTACCGCCTTGAGCAATTGAACCAAGAAAACCATCACAAGGTTAAGACTTAATGATAATCAATGATCTTGCATTATTATAGCAAAAAGTCAGGTGAAAAAAACTCCCAGCATTTGGGAGGGAATTTGAGGAATGGAAGAAAAAAAAGTTTCAAGAAAAAGGTAAAAGAAAACTGAATGAGTGCTTTCAATCAAGAAAATGATTAGAATAATAAAAATATCGAAAATGCTCAAATTTTGATGAAAATTCGAATTGAAACTTTTCTATTGAATGTTTATCTTTTTTACTGTTATTCACTCTTCCAATAGTGATGAGAATTGAATTTTGGCTAAATATTGAAGGATTCAGAGGAAGAAATATTTTGAATAATGAAGTGATTAGAGATAAGTAATGATTCTGTAAGAAAGAGAATCGAGTTTTTACCATGGAAACCGTTTCCATGTAATTTTGGGTCTTGCAATATTTGCTGGTTCAGTGATGATCCAGTTTTCCATCTTGATTCATCTTCTCTTGGGTCCTTCATTACCGGGTAACACTAATTAAGAGGAAAGTAAAAACTGTACAGGAAAAGAGAGGAAAAGTGAAATGAAGATGGAAACAAGTGAGATATGTAATGGTCAATTTGTGCGTCTTTCAAGTGAGCCTTCATCTTTTGCCTTCTAATGAAAGAAGATGAACAAGAAGAAGAAAAAGGATGCAAAGAAGCTAAATGGAAAAAAGATGAACAAAAATCGATATGAAATGAGATGAATTAAGAAGATAAGATGAAACATGGTCAAACAGGCTTGACCATCAGTCCAAAAAAAGATCAACCTTGTACACAGAAAAAGGTAAATTCATTCATATTCATCAACCTTTTTTGGTTCCAATTTTTTTGTTGAAAAAAGTTGAAGAATCTCAATTTGATGGCATTTTTTTTGTTTGCATGTTTACTGACCAGTAAACAAAATGTGATTAAAGGTGTTGATAAGAAATGAAATTGATGGATTTAGAAACAGTGTCAATGTGATTTTGGATGATGTTTGTTGATGTTAGATGTTTTGTCAATGTCCAACAGCTTTTCCATTACGGAATAACAAAGGGAATCTTTTATTAGAAGATGATGATAATGATGATGAGAGAAAAGGGAAAGAGAAATGGTTCTTGATGAAGAGGATAAAAGGAAGGAGAGATGGGAAGATGAAAATGATGGACAGAAGAAGAGAAAAGTTTGATTGGGTTTGAGGGTCGATTATATTGGATAGCATTTTGAGGATAAAATGTTTGACAAAACCAATTGTTAGTTGCATTAATTAAAATCAACCTCACAAGTTTCATGTAACCATTAAACAAGCAACAAGATGAAGTAAAGTGATAAGACAATCATGAGAATCATGAGAAGCCTTTTTTTCTAGACTCTTTTCTTCTACTGACCGATAGAATTTTCAGTTTTCCTTTCAATTTCAACCCTTTCCCTCTTCTTTCAACTTTTGTCTCAACTTTACCTTAAATCAGATCACGTTCACCTCTTTTTCCCTCTCTTTAATCATTCTAACATGTTTCATTCCCTGTTTATGAGTTTATCATTTTTCGGACCTTTTTCTGTTCTTTGTGGTTCCATTACACTCACAAGATTCATCATCAGATTAGAGATGAGAGAAAATCAGATTTAAGCATTTCAAGTTGTGAACTTTTTCGAGTTTCCATTTTCCTGGTTTTCACTCAAAAAACTTGCTTTTTAGCGATTCAACATCATTTGTCTCGAGCGTACCTTGGTCTTGTCATGAAATCCCCAGAGTGACACAGAAAAGATATGAAGAGGAGGAGGAAAATGATGAGAAAAAAACATTGGTTTGGGATAAAATTGATGAGGAAATGAAAAAAAAGAAATAATATTTTCTTCTCTTTTCACTCTTATTTGGTGAACTAATTTTCACGCCTATTTGTCCCTCCTACAAACCAGATTCGGGGGTAAAAATGGTTTGCTTTTTTTTGTAATGAAAAGAGTATAAAAAAAGAGAAAAAACCAGAAAAAAAGTGGGTGAGCTGGTTGAGAGTGAGCTGATTAAATGATGATCATTATGATGAAGGGAAACTTGAATTACATTGTCAGCAGTCTGCTGTTGAATCGTAATTGTTGAATAAATTGTTTAAAATGTTGCGAGTCGATTCAAGCCGATAGATGGTGCTTAAAGTTGCTTCTTAAAGTTAATTTTTCACTTTAAAATGTTTTTTTTGTTCAAAGGTAAGAAATGGTTACCTTTGTTTGCATTGCATTCCATTATAATAAGTCTTTTGTTTTGCCACTTTTCTTTCGTTTTTTTGTCTTTTTTCCCTTTTTTCTACTTGCAATCAATTTCATCTTTTTTCTTCTCTTCTTTTTGCTTCTTTTTTTAACATTTCTTTTGTCTAATTTCGTCTTATTGACCATTGAATGGAGAGTGAAAGAAAATGGGAAAAAGCGTATTTATACAGGTAAAGAGAAAGAGGTTGTTGTTTAAGATATTTTAACACAGGAACTCATTTTAACATAAATAATCGAGTAAAAGTAATCAGTTAAAATGGATTGAAGGTGCAAGTCGAAATGTATTGTTGGCCAGTTTTTCAAAGCTTTTCAACTTGCATTGAGAATCTTGTTAGAGGTTAAATCGGCCCAACAAGATTGACCATCCAAGCATAATGCACAATAGAGAATCATCTTGAATCGAATGAGTGTGGATGAAAAGAAGTGAGAAAAGGAAG